ATCATGTGTTTCAATGAGCAAGGAGGGTTGATTGATTGTATTGAAAAGAAGAAAACATTTGCTGTGACCTTCAACTCGACATATAGATATATCGACGACGTATTTATGGCACGCCAAATTCACAAAAATGAGATAAACCTAGTTTCACAATTGATAAACTAGGTTTAATTAACAATTGTAATTTCCGTTAAGTATAGTTAAAGATTCTTAAGTATAGTTTTATGTAAAACTATATTTAACTGTTGTTACTATATTTTATGAATATATCTAAGTTTATCTGCCTGTAATAAGCGTTAACAATAGATTTTGTTGATAAACATAGATTCACATTTGTAAACTATAGTTTACCGTAAACTATAGTTAAGAGTTGTCATAGACACATCTGTTTGAAATATTTATGGATAACGGTTTGAAACATAAGTAGTATACGGAGTAAAATATAGATTACTTGTTCAAATAGTTTCAGTTTATCTCATTTTTGTGAAACGTATTGTTATTTCCATTCTTAGGTCGATACGATATATCCTGGTGAGCTTGAGATAAAAGATACCACAGAGTCTGACACATCTGTTTCATATTTGGATATATCATAAGTGTATACCTGAGCTTGTTCAAATAGTTCGGTATGGATGAGCTATGTACAAATCATGGCCTATCTCATGGTTGTTGTCTAAGTCGGTATGGATGAGCCAGGTACAACTCATGGTCTATGTTACTAGTATCTAAGTATATACCTGAGCTTGTTCAAATAATTCGGTATGGATGAGCCAGGTACATATCATGGTTCCCGTTCGCCCTTTTCCACCTTTACAATGAACAGTTATAATGTTCCTCTCGTCTGCTTTTAACCAGTCTTTAACGTCTTCACAGAAGTTGATCATATCCCTACAACGTTTTAAAAATCAAATGATTTAGAAATATTCCCTGAAAATTTCTCTTTCTCTCTCGTATTAACTACAAAAAGAACCTCCTTTTGCCACCTACTTAAGTCTCGGAACATTATGGTCGTCTACCCTAACTTTTTCGACTCTGTTGTGGAAAACATCTCTATTGTATGTCAGTTCACCTAGAAATATTGAATGATAAATATAGTGCCCAGGATAGAAGGAGGAAGAGAGACAAAGAGAATTTCAAAGAGAACATCAACATGTGAATTTTAAATAATCATTACTTACTGCACAAGTCATAGACTTTATAGTGGTTGGAGTGCTTCTTATCCAAAAATTTCCCAACCTTCTGTAAAAAAAACAGATGTAGGCATTTTTATATGTGGTAAACTCACAACAACATAAACTGATAGAAGTCCATTATGAGGAGGGCCATTCTTTAATTATGCGAGAAAGTGCACGTAATAATAAAGGTCATATTTTAAAATGTTGAGGATAGTATTTGTAGAATGTATACATAGTTATTATTATAAAGTTAGTATTCCTTGAGAATTGAAATACGTACCGTAGTTTATACACGAGATATTTAATATTACAGATTACATGTAATTTGAAGACGTCAAATTTTGAAAGCTTTGATTTTGCGTTGATTTTTTGTTTTATTTATTTCTTGTGTTTACGAGATTTGTTATCGTAAAATAAAGCAAATACTTTTAATTTGGCAGCCTTTCTTGTCCGCAAAATAAGCAATAATAAACTCTTCGTGTGAATTCAGGACACTACAATATAATTACTTTATAGAGTTACGGGGGTCTTACTCTGATAGGGTTCCTGTACAGAGACCGTACGCCTGAGGAGGGGAAGGACATGGCAATCACTCGCTCTGAAAAAAGACATTCATAATCAAAATAATTTTTAACGTACACGGGAGCATGGCGTTAAACTTTTAATACAAAGAAAAATCCAGAACCGAATAAATCCTCGGAGCTGGTGGTGGGAGTGTTATAATAATTGAAAATTTATGAACTCAAAAACTCAAATGCTACAGTAAACAGTGTAAGATACGAGGTTGTTGTTTTGTATTGCTGTATCATATCTAACTATGTCATATATCTAACTCAAATCCCACTTTCGTATTGTTTTCTATGAGAATGACATTTGTAATTGGGGGGGGGGGGATAACTTACCTGTAACATAACAGAGGTCCAGATCAAAGCCTTCTTTCCTATACCTCCTCTTGTTCTGGGATACGACCCTCCTTGTGGCTTTCTTAAACATGCGGTACTCCGAGTACATAATGTACACACCTCTCAATCCCCGGATAATCCGCACCGTTCGTCCAATGATACTCAATCTAAATCATCACCATAATCATCAACATCATCAAGCATATGAAAAGAAAATAATACTTGAGATGTAAAAAATATTTCTTTTAAGAGAATATTTTATTTTACCATTAATCAAAATGAATTATTCTTTCAAGAGTTATCCCTCTTTTTCAAAATTTTACACTTTCAACAATTTAACTAACACCTATCAAATCATCTTTAAAAAGTACAATTTTTTTCTTTATTGATGCCAATGGCTTGAAACAATGTAATAAAATTATCCTAATTTTCCCACTTGCTCACATTTGAAAAAGGAAAATTAATCCATAAATGTGTTTTTTTTTCACAAAAGAAAGTAAAGGAAAAGGGATATATTGAAATCTGTCTCGAGAATTTAATGCAGTCACAGATCAAACTATCTGTCAATATAAATACAGGCGGGTTTTTTCATTATAAATTGAGTACATACTAGTATTATAAACTTGTGACAATGCTTGTTTTAATGAATTCAACACTATACAAACCGTGCGTAGCCACTTAGAGTGAAGTCTATAATAAAGGTTCCAAACACAACAATCATATCTAATATATCAGCCCAATGACGGAAAAAGTCATCCCTGAAATAAAAAAGTACATGTAACCGGTTTATCTAAATTAGAAAATACTCAGAATCTTAAAATAGAGCCAGTTATACTATTGAAATTTATAAAATCAGGAAATGAGATACTAAATCTACATGATCTATGCATAAACAAGTAAATATAAAAAAAAGTTTAGTCATATCATTTTTTTCACATTCAATGAATATGCCCCATAGAGTGAAAAAATTTAAAAAATTATATCAGAGAAGGTAGTTTTTGAAATTACAATTTATTAATAGTCAAATATTTGATTCATCTGCCACCAAAATAAATCAAAAAATACACTTCATGCATTCAATTTTTTACCAAGTGTCCTTATTCTTAAAATTTTCAGAAACAAAACGTAGCATGTTAAGAGGAAATTTAATCAACAGATCCATTACTTTCAGATAAATTTAAGGCTGTCTGACCCTTTGTAGAAGATCCGAAACATGACCTCTATGGTGAAGTAGATGATGATGATCCTGCTACAGATTTCTAACTCCTCGTGATGGTGAGCTGCCTCCCCCGCCGCTAGATCCGTGATCACAATGGAGACGTCCAACAGAATCAACAGAATCGTCAACAGGTGGAAGGCTATGTGCTCCATAACTCTACCCACCATATAACGAGCTCTTCTGTATAAACACACAACGCCATCTTACAAAGGCATAACAATTATACAGATTTTTTTTATATAAAAATGGATTTATCTCCCTTATTCAAATATGCATGGCGAAGTCATATAATAAAATGTGCATTCATGTCCAAGAATATTTTAAAATTGTATTCACAAATATTGATACTATTTGCAAGCCCGTGGGAAGCAATTTAGTTTCGGGAATACTTCCAAGCAAAATTCCTTGACAAACAAGGAAAAAAGGCTCATCAGAAGTTATAACTGTAGGGTCACAAGTACAAGGTAGCTTAATTTCTTATAATGTACTATATACATCATGTATATCAGCATAATGCTTGCTACGTTGATAACACTTAATAAAGTAGAATTACTGGATGATGTAATTCCATAACTAATGTGTTTTAATCATTGGTGGACGATATATCTATTGCTGCCATTTTAATTTATCGTGATTTTTTTTAATGTATGATGGACGTAAAAATATGAAAATCATAGGCATTGAATGAAATTAAGATTGTAACCCTGTAGGGAATTTAAGACGTAACTTGTGTTAAATACCTCATGGATTCTATTAGGGATGCTTTTTAATAATGGCCATTTTTGCTTATGACTGATAATCTGAAAATATGTACAAACAAAAATGCTTGTATATTTTTGGGTTCTAAACACCAATTGATATATATCAGATCAAAAACGTGTGTTTAATTACCCAGCCCTTGTGTTTGGGAAGTTAGAGGCGGGGTCCTGGTGCTCCTCCAAAATAAATTTATCTCGCAGCGGCTCATCGTCACTTTCCTCGTCATCATCTTCCTCGTAGTCGCTCCTCTCGTCGTTATCGACCAGATCATCTCTCACGTCCTTCCCCATCAGGATGAAGACGTCTGGTTCTATTTTCTGAGTCCCGTTTCCCGCCATTCCTCCTGTCGTCTGCTGTCCGGCGTCGTCCTGGGATTCGTCTGCTGCGTTGATCTCGTTGTCCGCCAATGTTATCCTCACTTCTTCGTCCATAATTAATCAGGCTTACAGACCTGAATTGTAAGATTATTGATTGTGCCAATTATTATAGGCGTACTGAAAATCGCTTAATGCGATGTAGTGAATTTCCATCCACCCTCTTGATATCATTGATATGGCTGTTCAATAAAATTTTTAGATTATTGGACATTGCTGACCACAATAAAGTGTAGTTATGTTGATCTTGTCAAGGCAAATTTTATCAAAATAAACTGTCCTAATTAATTTGGCCTCTGTCATCCTATATATACTGTTTAAAATTTGGTCCGACTCAAAACTTCTTTAAACCTCTAGAAAACCACTTTAATATTCATTACATTTTTTTTCTTTCCTCAACAATTATATTTTATCATGATAATTTCAATTTTAATCAATTTTTAACATTTAAGGCTTAGCATTATTACTGCAAGTATGCGATTATTTTTTTTCGGAGTTGATTTTTTTAAGAAGGATCAAATAAATGATTACTAAAAGATGATCCGATCTGTATGCGTAGTTTACTGTTGAATTGTAGTTGCTACAGTAACTCTGAACTTTATTGATCTTATTAATAATATTTGACTTTCCTTGTCTTTGAAAACAGTGTAACTTCAATCCTCTTACTATATAGGAAAATGTTGATATACATGTACCAGAGGCGGATCCAGGAATTGAAGTTAAGGGGGGGGGGCGCAAGATTAAGGCAGGGTGTCTGGGGAAGCTCATGGATTCTAGAGGTTTTGTAGGGTAAAAATGAGGTCTACCGAGTAGACATTTTAAACAAATTCTTGACAAAACTATGTTTATGCTAACTTTGACAATTTTAGTGGGCGCCGGGGGCGCCCCCCTTAAATCCGCCGCTGTGTACATATACCTGGTAATATCATACGTAATTACAATGTATAGATACAAACGTGTCTTATAACAAGAAAATCGATTTCCATACATATACATACTCTAGATAAGTGTAAAGTGTCACTTAAACCTATATACATAATCTTTCAGTTGCTTTTAAAAGAAATTTGTTGAGAAATTTTCCCTTGCTTGTAAATTGTTTTAGGTAAATTTTTCATAACTTTTGTAATATTAAATACAAAGCCACCCATATACATGTACGTGGTAAGGAATAAGAAACGCGCCTAGGCCAACAATTTTCGATGACCATGCGTCTTGTCGGCTTGAATTAGCGGGTCATAGTGCCCATTGTCCTTTCTTTATCGGGTTATAAGAGAATCTATAAATTCAGTTATGTCATTAATCAAATACACCGTATGAAGATTTCAGTCACAATCAGTGTACATAATCATAAACGTGAAAGAAAAGAGGAAAGGCACAATTGAGTCGTATTTTTGTGTTCAGGTAAAAATAGGTAAATTTTAATTATAAAACTCGTCATTACATCAGTATCACCGATTATAATTTAGTAATATTGTATTTTTTTTAATATGTGCTATCAGCATGATCAGATTAAAACATAATTATAGCTTACATACTTACATGTACAATAGAGCTAGACATCTTCAGTTCTACAGGAAGCATAGTGTGGAATTCCGATTAATTCCAACTTTTCAAGAATAAATGTTACCATGGTACCCAAAGTAAAGATTTTTTTTCACACCGACAGAGGGGTAGATAGAGAGAGAGACAGAGAGAGAGAGACAGAGAGAGGATATGGAGAGAGAGAGAGAGAGAGGACATGGAGAGAGAGAGAGAGAGAGAGAGAGAGGATATGGAGAGAGAGAAGAGCAAGTAACCTAATTATTAAAACACTTACCGAGCTCACGCAGTGTTGACGTTCATTGATTCTTACTCGCCTCTACGATAAATCGCCACTACTGACTCGGCACACTTGTGAATTTCATAAATGCTACATGTAATTATTAGCACACGCGCAGAATACCTAAATGTTGATTAATTAGCGCACCTGTACTCATGTCAAAGAGCATCGCCAAGTTGTCATTATTCACTCAAATATATTTGCTCTGGCGCTGCCTCGGTGCTTGGATATCATTATGTCTAACACTGTCTAAAGTTTTGACCATTGGTCAATGACCGGAACTGGGGCTCCCCACAGGGTTCACACACAAGTAAATCGAGTTGATATGGACAGTTCAAAGGTCATAATGATACGAAAAAAATATTGAAATTCAGTGAGAGAGAGAGAGAGAGAGAGAGAGAGAGAGAGAGAAATGTCTTAAGTAACAACCAGGGAAGTATATATAGAAATGTAAAAAGCAAGATTTTCAGGTACATGTATATATACAAATGTATAAAAAGCAAGTTTGTTAAACCAGGGTTTTATTTCATATATTATACTAATGTGTTTAAGAAACATCTTGTAAAATGTGGTTTCAGCATTGAAAGACAAATATTAATTATTTCATACATTTTTCCCCGTTTGCATCTGAGAAAATGTAAAAAGAAAATTAGAAAATTTAAAAATTTAAAAGAGAAAGAGAGAGAGAGAGAGAGATAGATACATGTATATTATATAACACAAACACATGCAAAATGTGGTTTCAGCGTTGAAAGACAAATATTATTTAATTATTTCATATAATTTTTTTCCGTTTTGCGTCTGCGAAATAAACAATTTTTTGTTTGTTTGTTTTTTTTTCTAAATAGAATGTTTTCTTATACTCTAAATTTTTTCAACCAAAAAAAAATTATCTAAGAAAAAATCCATTCAATGTTTATCTTACACAGTGTCTCGTGAACCCCTTATCAGGTGATAAGAAATCGGCTGATACATATTCTACAAGAATTAGATGTACGAGTGGTAATCAAAAAGTTCGTGGACTAGCGCCATAAAATTAAAACTCAATGAATTTTGAAATGTCTATATAAGCATCGTCTTTTCTATTTGAATGTCAATTTATAATCCTCAAATCATATATATTTATTTTTTTAATAAATGATAGTAATGTTTTTAAGCAATCATGTCAATGCGGCGCAAAGTAAAACACTTCATTTTTCGACCTTAGTGTAACTTAGATAAACTCTTTTGATATAAACATTTGACATCGTGAAAAATCCCCTTAATTCAGGTATGTGTTGGGACAAAATTTTCCATAAAATATTGTTTTTATTTAAACTTATCATTACATGAAGTTCTAAAAATTTATCGTAAATTTTACTTATATCAAACAAATAAGGTGATATGAAATGACGTCAAAACGGGATGGCATCATGATGTGAGGTGAACACAGTTTTGCCAATGAAAGAACTGCTTTATTACGTGGTATAAAATGTTTTAACTGGCTAATGTGAGAAATAAAATGCTTTCCAGAGTACTTGTTTACATTATGCCAAAAGAGATGTGAGAGATATATAGGGATGCACAAGTAATGTCTTTGTGATTTAAAAGTATCTTTTTATTGTGTTAACTCTTTATCATGTTCATTCCAAAAGTTCATTACCTGATGTTAAAATGCATTTACATTATCTCAAAGCTGCATATCTAGTATATAATGAATGTTGACGAATGTGTTTTAATGACCTGTAAAAAGGGGGGGGGAAATTACAGGCACATAATATCAACTCCAGACAAATTTTACTATAGAAAATGTAATGTTCATTGAAACTGTACAGCCCCCATCCCCACATTTTGTTGAAGGATATTCCATATAGGGTAATGTAATATATCTGGAAAAGAATACTTAAAAATGACTATTGAAATACGATTTTCTTGACATTTTTTTTTGTGGCTTGTCAATTTTATGGATTTAAGTGATTTTTTTATTCTGGCTCACCTCCTCTTTCAAAAAAAGATGCTACGTCACTGAAGTTAGAAATTTTTTTTAACATTTGAAAAACAATGCTCACCTAAATCAGTTGTATGCCTTAGTGAAATGCATGGGCAACACGTGGCAGCCGGGAATCTTGATCAAGGAATATATGTATATCGTTTTTGTTTTATGAAATTTGAGAACTGCTCTCAACTTTATAGTTTTATAGAAAAAAGTTTTCAACTTAATTCAGCTAAACTTAATGATGTGACACTAATGCAATGTCCTACAAAAATTTTCACTTCATTATAAATAGGGATTTGATTTTATAGGCCTCAGCTTGGTTTTTTTCTACAAAAACCTTGTTGATAACCCCCGTAATATTTGATTAATGGCATATTGGCTGAATACATTAATAACAATTCCTAAATCTTTTTTTCAGTGAGTAGAGGTATGAGGAACCCTTCATTGATTTCCTGAGTTTGTTATCTCAAATATAATAATTGATATTTGTCATAACTTCTCAATAAGTATAATGGTAATGTTTACTGCCTCTTAAATTCTATTATTTATGTTCAAAAATTTTATTCGTGAATGTATAAAAATTCCATTAATTTTTTGCAAATTATATAGGCCTAAATCAAATAGGATACAGTTACTTGATATTTATGTAGCCAAAATCAATGTTATTAAATCCTAAGGAAAATATACAATTTTTTCGCAGCTCAATGCTGTTTACCTGTAGGACCTATTAAGTAAAAAGCTTGAGTTATTCTTGTCCTCGGAGAAATGTGTTTATAGTGAGGTTTGTTCCGCCTGACTGACAACTGTACATTATTTTCACGATTTGATATCTCTTTGCAAAATTATTCAAGAATGGGCATGCATAAAGGATATATAATTGAAGGAAAATACACGAGGCTATAAAAAAAATATAAAATTGGCTTTGAAAAGTCGAAAATTTAAAAGTGTGGTACCAGGTGGATTCGAACCCCCGACTTTAAAATGTTTGTGTGCACACTGTAATAATCAGCGTATACTGTATATCAACTGAGCTAGTCTGATTATACCATTTACCGGTATAAATTTGAAGGTAATCAAATTCAGGTTTCCTAAATTTTTTGTAGGTTTTTTGTGAAGGCAAATTAGGGGTGCACACAAAAATCCATCAAATTAATCCTTACATCCAAACCTATCAAAATATCACAATTTTATTTAGGGGCAATGCCCTGAAGGATAGGCCAAAATTCATGCAAAAATCAACACTTTTTACAAAATGGTGTTTAGGCCAACTTTGGAGGTGTATTGTAAAGTTATTAATAAAAATTAAGGTATAAAATACAAATTTGAAAAATTTAGACATATATAGGGTAGAAAACAACAAATAAAGATTAATTATTCAATGTCACTTTTTCCGGGAAATTGTTCTCTCCTACAGGTCAATTCTTTTGTCAAAGCGAATACATCCTTTAAGACTTTTATTAAAAAAAATAATAAAATAAAAACAACAATTCAAAAGAATCTGAAAAAAAATTATTGTCACGATCATAAATTTGATTTATTTAATTATCAGATGCAAGTAAACACGATTGAATTTCAACGTGACTTAATTCAGTGTTAAGGTTGCAAATCAAGATTTCAATCATTTGTCGCTTAAAGTTTTCATCAAAGATGTCATTCCCAAATCGCTGAGAATCTCTTCACGACATTTTCTCTTAACCATTTTTAGTGCTTGCGGAACGCGGAAAATACGTTATGTCATATAAAGGCCGAGGATACCCGTGTTCAATCGTAATAGTGAATCGACATAATGTAGAAGAGTGCGCACAGTATGCAAGCTTTTCACATCAGTTAATAAAACTAAGATGTCATGAAAAGTAAACACAACGAAATGCAAGTTGACGAAATATAATTGTAGTATGTGTAAATATCATAAAGAGTTGACATAATGTAAAGGAAAGTTAACACGACGTAATAGTAGTGTGGGTTAATATCATAAAGAGTTGGCGTAATGTAATGGAAGGTTGACACAATGCAATAGTAATGTGGGTTAATGTCATAAAGAGTTGACATAATGTAATGGATTGTTGACACAATGCAATAGTGGTGTGGGTTAATGTCATAAAGACTTTAATGTTGGAAGGTTGACACAATACAATAGTAGTGTTCTGCTATAAGGCAGTGACGGCGTTCCATATGTCTAGTAAGCATCGTCTTTTCTATTTGAAGAATAAACCTCAAATCAAAAATTTAATTTTTTAATAAATAAGTAATGTTGTTTAAGCAATGGTACATGTATGTCCAAGCGGCGCAACCTCAAACACGACGTTTTTTCGACCTCAGTGTAACTGACAAAAACTCTTTTGATATGAACATTTGACATCCAAAAATCCCCTTAATTCAGGTATGTGTTGGGACACTATTTTTGCATAAAATATTGAATTTTTACCTCATTCTAGAAGTTCTATGAAAATTTATCGTAAATTTTACTTGGCGTGTCCAAACAAATAAGGTCTTGAAAATGACGGTTTCCTTTTCCAACATTTTGTATAGTTTTGCCAATGAAAGAACTGGTTTAGACCTAGAAAATGTTTTAACTGGCTACGGAGAAATAAAATGCTTTCCAGAGTACTTGTTTTTTAATGCCAAAAGAGAGTTAGAGAGAAAAGGGATGCACAAGTAATGTCGATTTGTAGTCATGGTGTGAACAAGTTTGGTCAAAAAATGACGTCGATCATGTGTTGTAGAAATTAAACTCCAAAAATCAAAATATGTTTGCACAATCAAGCGAGGATCTCTCACACTGTATAAATCCATTTGCAATATTATATGCATTGAAAGCCGCTGTTCATGACATTGTCAATTTCAATTTTTTCTTTAAATTATAAATCTGGTTCTTTTTTTATTGAATAAATTGATGCATACATGTAATTTATTTTTTCACTTCTGTTTTTAAGATATGTGAAAAAAAATTAAAAAAGCTTCACATGATTCAACCTCTCCTAAAATCTCACTTAAGTAAGTCTTAGACTGAACGCCTTAATTAACAACCATTCTGCAAAATCTACTTGATGTGTCAATGTGATTTAAATATTAAATAAGTTTGTTGAAGCATAAATTTTTTTTTCTTCAGAAATATTTGATTTTCATCCAGAATGGGTCAAGACTAAATTTATGAAACAAGAAATAGATTTTACATTACTTTTCCGTCATTATAACATTAATAAAAATTAAAAACTTGTCCCGTTCACATTCAAAAATCATTTTTATGGCTTTGATGAACCCCCTTTTTCCAGTAAATAAAATATGATTCAAATGTGTTGATGCTGACATTACTGAAAACATAATTTTAGAAAAAAAAAAAAACTTTTCACACTAAAAAAATGAGAAATATACACATGTACTGAAAGATATTGTCTCGGAGTGGGGGATTGTCGATCCTTACCTTGAACACCTTCTTTCTTTAACCAAAGATTTCCGAAATAATACAGTATTTGTGCATTGATAAAAAATTATTAAACTACAAGTATATCCCTCATTAGAAATAATTGACATTTTTTTTTTTTTTTACATTTTGTATGGTCATAGGAACTGGCATACCTATAAATTTTACCAAAAATTTTAGTAAATATTGAAAATATGTAATACTTTAAGTAAGAATAACACATTATTATCAAAGGATTACATTTTTAAAAATTTATTTAAGAGTTTGATAAAATTGATAGGTATGCCAACTCCTGTGGAACATATACAGTCATGAGAAAAGTTTTGCAGAACTTAAATGGTGTAAATAACCAATGTTCTTATGCATAACTGATTAGCATAGTGGAATATTCATAACAGGATATAAGCCTGCTTTTCAGTCCTAATAATTTTGCAATGAAATATTCATTAAATAAATACTTAATTTTCTTGGGGCACATTCATAACTTATGTGACAATACAGTTTAATTAATACAAAATTTGAACACAATATGGTTACGTAATAAATGGAGGTAACTTCTGTCCATGATTGATAAGAGTTATGGTCCTTTGAATGTGTTAGTCACACCAGAGTTTCTTTAGAGGTGCCTCTCCTACACACGAGATAAGGTTTAATACAATGTCTGTCAACTCTGCTGATAAATCTTCTTCTGTTTTGTCTGCATCAATTTCCTGTCAAAAAAAAATAATCCAATTAAAATTGGCCAAAAACTCTCTTTGGATTCACCAGAGCAAATATTTTCAACATTTATAAAATAATTCAGTTCATCTTTTTCATCATTATCAAAAAATATCTAACCCTTCAAAATTGCTATTCTATTTTTAGCGAGATGTAATTTTAGCGATTTTAAAATAATTAAAGAAGCTATTGCAAATAAAACTCAATTATTTTATAGTTATATTCAATTTCAGCGATCTTAGCACCCTTGCTAATAATGCAGAAATTAAATCCTTGCTAAAAATTCTGCTTATACAGTATTATTAGGTATATTATTAGAAGTTAATTCCTATACCTGCCAGTAGGGCTCTTTGAGCTGCTGGAAGTTGTTGGCCACCTTAATCTGAAAGTCTGTCTGTTCGTATCTCTCGCTGCCGAAGGTTCCCCGCTTGGCTGCGGCCTCGGGACTAAGGTTCAGGTACAGAACTAGGTCAGGTCGTGGCAGCCCAAGGTCAGGTTGTTTACACCAGTCAATCGTAAAACCCTGAAAAACCAACAACTCACTGCATTGACACCAATAAATAGTAAAGCAAAGCCCTACAAAAATTAACTAGATCCTGAACACTGTTTGGTACCTCTTGACATGGCTCTGTAAGAACCCAGGTTCTCTTTAGATAATTAAATTATATCCCTCTAGTCTAAATATGTAGTAATTAATGTTCATTTCTTGACTGGTTCCTGAATACCATTTTCTGTGGGTCTTAACCTATGCTGATAATTCAAAGGCAACAGTTTGGTTTGAAGGATACAAAAAAAATGTATTATACCTCAGAATTTTGTGAATAAATGTTTTATGAAATAACCACATACATTGTTTTATGACCCACCTAAGCTGAAGATTAACAAATTCAAAATAAGCCTGACTTTAAAAAAAAAGCAGAGTTGCCACTCCTAGAGAAGAGTTCTACCTGTTTAGCGGCAGTAAACGCGACACCTGAGAAGGCGTATCTGTCCACAATGAGAGTTGTACCAGCCTCCAGAAGCTTCTTCATACGGGGACTGAAAAATAACAATTGTCAATTTATCATGGAGGCAAGTAATATCTCATAATCATAGTTTGCAATAGATGGTTTTCCATTGAGGTAATTTAAGCAAGAGTTATTCCCAATGGCCGCCATGTTGTAGGGCAACATTCCCAGATTCCTTCATTATTCAACCAAGTTCAATTTGTTATACTGGTTACTGAGGTAAAGATAACACTATTTTTCTTATGAATATACGTTTGTTAAAGCCTCTATTAAATTAATTAATAATTTTATAGTAAGATAATAAATATTTACCCCCATATATATTTCTGGCATGCATGTTTAAAATTGGTTGCTCAAAGAGGAAAATTCACTGCCTTGCCCTACAAGATGTGGGCAAAGGGGAATAACTCCCAGGCAAAATATGTCATAAGAAAACCACCTATAGACTCATCATCATGATGGTGCCTTTTAACAGCTTAATAACTTGAAATAATACTCAGTGATGAATTTATACTTTTAGAGGGGGGTAGGGGGCTCTTATTTTGAAACCAAAAAAAATTTGTAAAACTAGAGATTATTTTAATTGATAAATTGTTTTGCCCCTTGGTCCCCACCAAGATATTGCCCTCATCCACTGAGATCCCTCAGACTCCTAGTACCTCCCCTTCTAATCTTGGATTTGTCACTGTTACTGTTGATTATTATTGGAATAAGGAGGGGGGGTCACTAACTGATTGACAAAAGCCATCAAATTTCTGGTCAATGAGTAATAGCTACCTACACTAACTCCCATCTATTGGCTGAAAACAGCAAATGAACAGCATGGTCCTCAATTTCTTGTTTGTTTCCAAGGTAACCATCAATCATTTGACCAATAGCAGTAGTTCTGTCTGCAATTAATAAAAGAAAAGTTGAAATACAATGGGTATGATTATTATTTCAAGCATAAGAAAGTTTGATTAGATTTGACTGTTGATGGGGTAAAAAGAAAAGAGGAATACCTGGGCCAAATTGCTCACCTGAACGTTGGCTAGGGAAAAGATCTATATTAGTTAAATATGGAAAAAGTTTTAGATGCGGGCATGATATAAATAATCTTGAATTTGCATCAGTAGATGTTTCCATATTTCTTTGACTTGCCATGGCTTTAGATAATTTTTTTATGATTTTCCACTAAACATGTTATTTTGCCCTACCATTTTATGGCTATGATTTGATCAAACTTGCATCTTCGCTACCATAGGATGCTCCTGAATATGATGAACTTGACATGAGTAATCATGGCTTTGCTTTTCTTGAGAAGAATATTTTTTTTATTGAGGCAATTCCAAGTTTTTTCTATGTTTAGCGTCTGCATGCGCCTTGGTTTTTGACACCCCATGTCAGAAAAAACAAACAGAATCAGGAGTCCGAAAATTAATTATTCAGGTCATAATTTGTGATTTTTGGCAATTATAATTTCTAAATATTAATTTTGTATAATATTTCATTATTGGAATAGTTTCAGTAATTAATACCTTGATTTTGCTGAAGAAAATATAACTTTCTTTATGAAAAATAGATAAATGAAATCATATTTTTCGAATTACGTCATTCTTATTGCTATAAAATATGTGTTTTATTTTTTTTTGACTTGTGTGTTTTTTGCGAATAGGTAGCTAGGTTTTTGAAAGATGGGTGGACGCTAAACAGAGAAAAAACTTGGAATGGCCTGATGTATATCCTTTATATATTTATTTTTATAAAGCCAATATTTTTTTTACATTGGTTTACAGATTTCATAATTTTGAAATCACTGGGGTCTTCAAAGTTGGATGATTTTTCATAGATCCTATTCATTTAAACCTCCGAAGCTGAAGAAATCCACCTGGTACAACACTTTTAAACTTTTAAATTTCGCCTTTTCAAAGACTATTTAAATTTTTTTTATATAGATTTGTGTATTTTTCCTTCAAAGTTCCAGCAAGAGTCTGCTTCAAATACTAGTTCTAGTCCACTACTTTTTCCTATAGTATATTTTCTACGAAAGTTTTATTGTGGTAGAGATTAGAGACTTGAACAAGGATGTCCAAAGGAACAAGAGGTCCAGGGGCCACAGCGCTCACCTGAGCACATCAGCTAGGAAAAAGCACACAACATGATTTGGACCTTCTAGTATCTACATTACCTGAGGATAATTCTACATAAATATTACTAATCGTGGCTTTGAAGTACTTAAAAAGGAGTTTTTAAACGGTTTCCCTTTCTATTCCTATGAGAATAATTTTTGTCGGTACCTTTTCGGGGGTCATGATTTGAACAAACTTGAATCTACACTATCACATGAGTTTCATCTTTCCTGGCCCAGTGGTTCTTGAGAAGAAGATTTTTAAAAAATTTTTCCTATATTTCCTATGTAAAACTTTGATCAGCCATTTTGGCCCCACCCTACCCCCCGGGGGTCATGATTTGAACAAACTTGAATCTACACTATCTAAGGATGAATCCATATGAGTTTCATCTTTCCTGGCCCAGTGGTTCTTGAGAAGAAGATTTTTAAAGATTTTCCCTATATACTCCTATGTAAAACTTTGATCGGCCATTTTGGCCCCACCCTACCCCCGGGGGTCATGATGGCTATTCATATGCTAAGGTTTGAACAAATTTGAATCTACACTATCTGAGGATGATTCCACATGAGTTTCATCTTTCCTGGCCCTGTGGTTCTTGAGAAGAAGATTTTTAAAGGTTTTTCCTATATTTCCTATGTAAAAGTTTGATCGGCCATTTTGGCCCCACCCTACCCCCGGGGGTCATGATGTGAACAAACTTGAATCTACACTATCTGAGGATGATTCCACATGAGTTTCATCTTTCCTGGCCCAGTGGTTCTTGAGAAGAAGATTTTTTAAAAATGGTATTAATTTTTCTCAAATTCATAATTATCTCCCCTTGGAAAAGGGTGTGGCCCTTCATTTGAACAAACTTGAATCCCCTTTACCCAAGGATACTTTGTAGCAAGTTTGGTTGAAATTGGCCCAGTGGTTCTTGAGAAGAAGATGAAAATGTGAAAAGTTTACGACGACGACAACAACTACAACAACGACAACGACAGACAACGGACAAATTTTGATCAGAAAAGCTCACTTGAGCCTTCGGCTCAGGTGAGCGAAAAAGTTGAAGTAGGCAGCTAATTCATTTCAGCCTGTATTGATTGAAACAAGCTGTCAAAGTTGGTGCAAGAAAACCTGACTGAGTCAGTTTGTGTGACACTGGGCTGAGATGTCGTAGGGATACCAGACCAAATTTTTTAGTCCCAGTGACATCTCACTGAGATGAGAGACAAACAATTTTTCAGATTTTGTAGAATATTGGGTGTCAAAACCAATCCTTGTCATACATGTCATATATACCTTATCCTTTGGGTTAGTATGTCTAAAAAAAAATGTAAAAACAGACAAAGCTCAACAGACAGGCAGACGGCAGAGAACCTTCGATCAGGAGAGCTCACAGAGCAGAGTATAACGCTCAATACCTCAACATAAAATTTGGCTCAGGTGAGTTAGAAAAAGGGTATAATAGCGTTTGGCCACAAAATGCAAGTAATGCAGAAAGTAGGTAAAAATAGCTACTTTGGTTAGGTTTAAATTCCTATTAATTCCTGGGAGGGAAGAGCGAAAATCTCTAACATGTCTTAACAGCGAGGAAGAACTTTGGTACACACCTGGAAATCTAAATGGTTGGACGGGTATATTCTTTTGCCGTAAACACTCCACCAATCGCTTACACTGTGTTGTCTTACCACTGTGGTCACATCCCTCGAAAACGACCAGGGCCCCTCTACCCGCCATTCTGTGTGACCCGAAATAGCGCGCGAACATAAAATGTCGTGCGGGCAATAAAGAGAATATTAGACTGTTATCTTATTTTCCATGTGTTGACCCCCTCTATACGAAGATAACAAAATGTAAACACTTTTTTCACACGAGGAAAAAAATCGAAATATATTTTACATCGGGATCAATGTTCTTATATTCTTGCACGGTAACCAGGGAATTCATATCCAAGAAAGTTTGAAAGAAGAGTTTTCAAAACTTTATTTATTTATGGCAGATAGTAGTTGCAACCCCGTATCATCCATCTCATTCTGGATCCGTCACTGAAAAAAAGATATTGAATCAGACGATGGACGTCTGCGAAGAAACATATTATAGTTGAAAATCTTGTCAAAAGATGAAATAGTTGTACGCTTCATCTTGAAAGTTTATATTAAACAGATTTAGGCGCGGTAAACAATTTGAAAACCTGACAATCTGCACAAAACTCACAAACACCCTCTCTTGATATTTTTACATCATTGACAGATCTTGGAATTTCATAATTTGGGGTGATAAGATATAAATCTAAGAGATGATTTCCCATAATTTTAGGATATGCTACCAACAAAATTTAAAAATATCAAACGGGGGAGGGGGATGTCCTGGCGCTGGATATCCGCCCTAGGACAATTGCTTTTAAATCAGTGCAAACAGAACTCGTGAATACATACACTTGTCAGTAGTCCCTTGCTAAATTATATTTTGTTATTTTAAACATATTATTGTAAAACTAAGTGCTCTAAAATGATTGATATTTATATAATAAAAGATGCTTCTGTATGTTTTGGAGATAAGGTCTCTCAGCATTTTTTTTCTTGAATTCCCGTGGGCACCAGCTGCATCCCGGTATTAGCAGACTTGTTTATGCAGACGAAGCAGAACGCGAATTTATTTTAATTCAAAATATTCTGCATCAGAAAAAAGCCTGAGATCAAAATTACAACGACGAAATATTATCAATTGATAACTACATGTATATAATCAAGTTACTTTCATCAATCAAATAACTTAATTAACATTTATAGTTAATTTCATTCATAGACATACAATGTATATATCTATACAGGATACAACCAATCCAAGGGAGCTTGAAATAAAAGATACTGTATAGGTTCTGACACATCTGTTTTGATTTTTGATGCTTCCATAAAAAGATATTAATGTTTAAACCAAACAAAAAAGCTTAGGTAATGATACATTTTAAATAACATGATGATAACTTTTCTATCGTCAACTTCCCTTCTTTATGTGGCATTAAACCCTTATCGCTTGTTATGGGGGTATGTCTCTCAGTTGCATGATTCGATATATGAATAAAGCATGTTCAACGTATGATCAATTTATAACACGAGGCAAACTATGGACAAACAAGTTGATGAAACAAAGATTTCAATATAGTCTGTTTGATGTTATCATTTTGCAGGTTTTTCGGTCGACACTTATATATCCTTGTCAGCAATAAAAAAAAACTATCACTTGGTCAGAATGCTGGTTAATGTTGTTTTTTTTTTTAATTCTATTTAAATTGCCAGGCCATATATTGAAGAAGTATTTTCGTTGATGTTCTGTTCCTGGATCATCGGTCATTTCAAGGAGCAGAGCCCGGGTGGATGTAAGCGGAAGGTAGTGAATGCTCATGCCTTCCTTCATTTAAAAATATCCCGGCTTCCAGAGACAAGCTGAATCAGTTTATATAAATTATCGGTAGAAATTAATGTTGTCCTGTTTGAGGACCATACATGTCACACCCGTGCTGTTTACACTCGAGGGTCTCCGTACAATTCATGCAGTACGAGTTTTTTACCTGAGGGTCAAAGGTTAAATACCAGATATTCCTACGCTTTACAAGATGAAAATATTGGATATTTTTGATATAAATATATTATGTCAATTGCGAAAAATAAATAAAATTTGTTTCTTTCTTTACATATGTCATATAAGGAATAACCATCACTCCTTTAAATTGTTATTTAATTATAACTATGTACTATATTATGTGCCCAACATTATTGAGAAAAGCGGACACACCCTTGAAACAAGATGGCGGAGTATTTTGGTGAACCTGACCTGAAAAGTAGTTGAGAGAAACACGCTGTTAGCAATGTCTTGGAACCTAAAAGCCGGGGAACTCTTGCAAAAAAAGTAAAATAAGACTCTGGAATGTTAAACTCAAAGGAAAGAGAAAGCAAGTAAAGAAAAGTGACGGGAAAAGTTTGTAACTTTTGGGGCGACACTTGTGATCTTCTCAAGTGTCAAACACCATGGCTCAGCCACAGGTAAGACTGCAAGGTGCGCGGATCTGACCCCCTGCCCACGCCAACCCTAGCTATTTAAGTTTTTGATTGTGATGTTTACATAATCACTTTCAAATTCCGTCGTCATTTTTCGTATCAATCGACTTATCATTGTCATTCGGAACAGGTGTCCGTTTTTCTCTGGATGAAACTTTTGGAATACCTCGGAAATATCTGTGTTGTCACTAGCCTGAATGACATGTAATTTTCTCCTTTCCCTTTGGATTATTGTTATATTATTTTATACAGAGACTGAATAAGAGTTTTAATGACATGAGCATGATGAGATTGCAGGAATTATTTTTCAAGTTGCCCAATGTTTTGATGTAGAAGGTACTTTTTGTAGTGTGTATATACTGTAGGTGTTGATCTTTAGTTGATTGAAGTACCTATGTAATTCTATGAACAAAGAATGCATTAAAGTATAAGACACAATGAGCAATGACCAAATATTCAAATATATTAAATGCCTAACAGGGCTCGACATTAACGCTTGTCCGGTACCAATGAAAAAAAAATTACGGACAAGTGAATATTGCTGGGCACTTGTCCGATTGGACAAGTGATTTTTTATGTAAAGAAGTCTTCAAATAATAAAAATATTTTTAAAAAACAGCTATTGAATGAAGTTTATCGATTAAAAACGAAAGCAGTACATAAACCCGAATTTCGATCCGATATCAATCACTATGTAAGTTCACGCTTGATCGGGATCGATGTTCACTAATTGCAGCCATACTATTGCATGGCGTGGATCTTATGACGTTTGCGGGTTTGGAATATATTTTATTGATATAACCAGTCTTCACGAAAACTTTTCAAACTAACTGGCCAGTCGGACCAGTGAACATTTTTAAAATTTACTGGCCCACCAAAATTTTTACTGGCCCCTTAATTATAGAATAAAATACATTTTCATAACTGTTAATTTATACATGTTTACGTACTTCAACTTTTGAATGCCGCCATTTTTCGTCTTTTGTCGCGTTTCGGTAAGTTGTTCATTGGAAATTTGCACATTTTACGTACTAGTTAATAGTTACTAGCTAGTTCCGGTTGTTACGTAATACATCCATGTTATAATAGGGTTACAATAATACGATTCAACAACACGTGCTTGTTCTTTTTATATTATATATCAATGAAATTTATGCAAGTAAGTCAGTTAAGATATATATTGACTGTGTATGATTTTTAGAATCAACAAGCCCATCGGACTTCTTGAATTTTGATTTTCACTGACCCGACATAAAAATTCACTGGCCGCGGTCTTCGGACCAGTGAGTTTTCGTGAAGACTGTATAACAGATTCACTTGCGAAGATTTATGTTGTTGTGAGGTCAGGAAATCTAAATAAAACTTTGTTTTATAAGTGTTTGTCTTATTTATCAATAACAACACTTATAAATCAAGCACGTTTAATTTTTTTAATTTAAGTAATTGTTTTCAAGATATTCGTTGAAAAATTTTTGGTCAAGTGAAGTTGAAGTTGAAGTTCGGACAAGTAAATTTCTTGGTCACTTGTCCGAATGGACAAGTAGGAAAAAAAGTTAATGTCGAGCCCTGCCTAACTTCCATTCAAATATTCATCAGGGGACATAATTTTTTCAAAGAAAGACCCTGCTCAAAATAATCATGCACTTAGTAAATTAGTTTACTTGCTAAATGTAAAGGAGCAGAGAAGAAGATTTTCAAAGAATTAATGTCATATTGATCATGCTGATTTTCAAGTAATGTAAATTCTAAATGGGCTAATTGGTCCAGTGTACTCAAGTCCAAACTGTCCAATATCTTTTACATAAATTATAAAGACTGATAAATTACATTTCCATGTAATGTCCCTCCATGTTTAATGCTGTTTTAGTAATTATATTGTGTATTGTATCAGAGTTCTTGTCAAATCTGAACCAATATGAAGATAAATTTGAACTGTCTAAGTTATAATCGTTAGGGGTATTGACCAAGTCAATTTTGTCAACCTCCGTTTTCTATTGTCAACAATATTATCTGTGTCTCTTTGTATCTTATCTGCCATGTTTCAAGATTATCAATATTTTTTTTTTTAAAAGCACTTAAATGATAACATGAGATACAGTCATACTTCATCTC